GGGCAGCCAGCACCACTCGCTCCACCATCCTGGCCCCACAGGAGCTGGCAGCCACTAACCCCTCGCTGGTGTTATCCTCTAGCCACAGACCTGCTCCCTAGAGCAGTTGGCTGCTGCTTCCCCAGGCTGCTAGGACACAAGAGCACCAAGAGGTGGAAAAGCTCCTGGATGCTGCTCTCTTGGGGGCGCCGGTGGCAGGAGGACCCCAACGTGCTGCACGGACGATGTCCCCCCTGGGATGGGATTGCCAAGAGCAGTTTCAGCATCCTCCTGGGCAGAGGGGCCAGTCCCCTCCATGGGCTCTGGGACGCAAGTCACGGGAATAAGGCAGCACCAAGAGGGGAAAGTGTAAAAAAAAACAAACCAAAAAACCAACACAGCATCTTCCAATTTCTGCTATTAAAAAGCCTAGTCATTAAGGGAATGTACTTATTAATTATCTGTGATTTGTTGTGAAATGCTGAGGGGTTTACAACAACAAGAAAAGTGAAAAAAAAATAATTAATTTCTCTTTGGACGCCCTCCCTGCACCACTCCTGGTCCGTGCAAGCCCCTGCCCCTCGCCGGTGCTGCCGTCTCCCTGGGTCCGTGGCCATCTGCACTTCCTAATTAAAGGAACCCCCGGGAGACCCGTAACACAAACGAGCTAATTTCATGTTTAATGATCTTTAATCAGAAGAGAGTGTGACTAACAACAGCCATCCAGAAGGTGCTTTGTTATTCATTTTAAACTTCCATCGGCTCCTCTGAAAAGCTCAAATCCCCCCCGACACGTGGTGGCCCCAGACCCACAGTGGGGGAGAGGGTGGCGAGGTGATGCTCAGGGATGAGAGCCGGTTCCCTGCTCCTGCTCCAGCTCCAGCACTCCCATGGCATGGCACCGTACGGCATGGGGAGTGGGCCTCCTGGAAGGACATCTCTCCCACTGGTTTCCCTAGGGATTACAGAGCCCTGGCCACACAGCTTTTCAAGCCCTGACAACCCCAGGAGCAGCCGGGTGAGATCCCGGTCCCCCTCACGCCACCGCTGAGGTTGGCTGATGCCAGGCTCCGCTCTCCTCACCACAATCCCGCTGATGCTGCGGGGCTTGTGGGGTGCAAGGGAACCAGTGGGAGCTGGCAGGGCATTTGCATCCCTGGCATCCAGAGGCCAGTCGAGCTGGTGGGAATTTATTCCAGGAAGGAAGGATAGAGCCCTTGGAGACCCTCTAGGGGGATACCAGGGGTCTCCTGAGAGGCAACAAGGGGCCCTACGATTTCCTTTCCCTAATATTTGTTTTTTAAACCATGCCTGCCGCCTTCACATAATCCTCTCTTCCTCCTCCTCCGGTCCATGTTAAACCAAGCACCCGGTCTGTGTAAATAGCGCTGATATTTCTAGAGCCTTTCAGAATAAATACCAATAAAGAAAACAAGGCAGTGAAGATGTCGAGGGATTTCAGGGCAAAACATTGCCCCGTCTCTTGCAAACGAGCCTGCAAAAAGCACTCGCCGGTTCGCATTGAAGGGGAGGTGGACGCTGGGTAGCTGCTCCTTGATGATGTGTCAACCGCTGCCCATTTTCTCATACCGTAATTGCCAAACGGCATCTGCGTAATGGCACTGCAAGCGCTGTGTCGCTAGCGGATAAGCAGAGGATTATTTCTGTCTCCTAAAACCTCAGTGCAAGTTATGGGGAAATGACTTTAGGAGTTAAGTGCAATCGCAGACTGATCTGCAAACACCGCTGAAGCCATCGCCCAGACTTCTCCGGCAAAACCACTGAGTAACCACTGTACCCGTACCAAACCCTTGTGGTTTGGTCTCACCAGGCAACCCTTGGCCAGGGCTCGATCCAGGCAGGACCTCCTGGATGGGGCTCCAGGGATGCCACGTGCCAGAGTCTCCCCAGGGACCCTACGTCCTGCTTGTCCCCCTTGAGCCCTCCATAACAGCCCTGTGCTCCAGTCCTTCGCTGATTTTACACCAAAACGCCAAGTGAAAATCTAATTAACGAAGCCAGGCTGTGAGCTTCTGGAGAGGTGCAAGCTGGAGCCTTGACAGCTTAGGGGAGGACCCTGCTTTGGCATGGGGGCTCCCGGGCCATGCACCAGCTGACCAGGTTTGAACCAAAGCCCACAACAAGAAGGGGCATGGAGGGGTCTCAGGTCAGCAGTGAGGGGTACTCCTCCCCAACCCCCCCTGCACAGCCTTCTCTAAGAGCATTCACATCAGTTTTTTTTCACCTAAAATGCAGCCCAGCGATGTCAAGATGGACGGGTGCTGGCCCAAACCTCCATGTTAGCAGTCTAACGAGGTGGCAATCAAACCACATCATGCACACAGCTGCCACCGCCCCAAAAACGCCCCCAAAGGAGCTGCTGGTGGCACATCACTCCTTGCTCCAGCCCATCCAGCTGGAGCATGCACTGGCAGGGATGCAGCAGAGGGACCACAACTTGCTCTCCCCCTATAGCTTTTCTATAAGATTGCCTGTGCTGGCTAATCCTTCTCCTGTGGACCTGTTGTCTTCTGCAGCATCACTCACTGCCATCTTGTAAGGGTCACCCTGCTGACTGCAGGCCCTGGGGATGCTGCAGCTCCTCAGGGCGATTTTGCAGGTAGCTCCCACTGCACCTCATTGATTTTGGTCCATCTCAGCCCTCCAGCTGCAGGTTTCATTCCTCTGAGTGGATGGGTGACCCCTGCGGTCAGAAAATCTCTTTCAAGATTTAATTGGCTCTAGAAGAGCCAAATCCTGCAGTAGTTTGCCTTCCAGGCAGTTAGGAGGAACTTGGAGGGTGGTGGGGAAGATGAGCCGGATACGAAGCTGGCATCTGCCTGTTTTCCAGCTGCCGATGGGGCTGGTGGCAGGGCCAGCATCCCAGGCCATGGTGTGCCGATGTGGGGATGAGCCAGGTGATTGGGATCTGTGCCTGGGAAATTCAGCAAGTGGGGACAGCAAACAGCAGCCGGCATGCCCGTACAGCGCTGGTGGCTCTGCTCCCCAGCAGCTCTTTCCTCTGCCATTAGCGCTTATAATGGGCAGTGAATATTTAGGGAGTTCTTCATGTCCCCGAACCATTAAGCACACAGAAATAGCAAGACATTTTGCTTATAGTTGCACCTTTCGTATGGAAGATAGCCTGCAGCGTGTCACGCAGCTCCCGCAGCTCCTACCGCGCCTGCAGCACCCGCAGCCTTGTGTCTGCATTAAGGGCTGGGTGGCAGCAGGGGACGAGCAGGGGGACACAGCATGTTCCCGCTGCAGCATCACCCCTGCCAAGCCCACCCGTGTCAGGAGGAGCGGGATGGAACTGGCCGATGGCTGTGCCCGGGGGGGGCTCCATGCTGGCCAGTTTGCCCTGGCCAGCAGCTGGGGCTGGAGGTCCCAGCCGGGCGAGGGCTCACCCCAAGGTCTCCCAGCCCTGCCAGAGGCACAGTGACCTTCTCAGCTGTGGAACAGGGCAAAGAAACTGTTTCTACAACAGCTGCCATGGGGTGGTGTGAGGGCCACAGCCAGGAACAGGCTCCTAAAGGGACCGGATGAATTCCTGGGAGAAATTCCTACCTGCAATCACAACCTGGCTCTGGGCATCATGAAGAACACTGGCAGTGGCTGGTAGGGGCTGAACCTTTTATTTCCACTGGGCTAGAGCTATCCTTGTCCATACGCATCATGATGAATCTGACCCCACTCCCCCAGGAAGAGGAAAATATTCATGGTTAGCCCCAGCCACCTTGGCCTGTCAGATGGACCCAGGACTGGTCTGGTGGGGACCGTGCCTCTCCTGCAGCCCTCGCCACGTGAGTCCCTCTGCATCCTATCCAGCAGCAGAGATGGTACGCATTACCGAGGACAGGTGGAAACAGTCATCAT